AAGTGGGAAAGTCATGACATATTTTTCTGTTTTTCTACACAAAAAAATGTATCATGACTTTCCTGACAACCCAATATATATACAAATACACACACACATAGTACCATAGTACCATAAAGCTGAGTATTTTACAGTCAATTTCACTTAAAGAAGTAGTTTAGGGACCAGCAGTTAGTGTAATGACTATGTCGCTGGACTCCCACGTAGTCGACCACGGTTCGAGTCCTGGACCCGGTGGCTTAAACTCACGCCGGGCGTGTGTGCGTGTGTGCCCAAGATCCCGAGAAGAACTAGTTTAAAAATAATAGGACTGAATTCTTGTTACTAAAGCTTTAGAAACTTTCTGTGGGGTTAACAATCCACTCTGCTCAAATTTTCATGCCAACTAAAAATACCAGTGAAATGTAACTTCTGTTTAACAATTATATTCAGTGTTCATCAGCATTATATTGAAAAAATGCTAAGTTGTAAGATAATGAATTCACAATTTATTTAATTTCACGGAGCCTTGAGACTTTGTACCCAGTGCCATTTGCAAATAGTAAATTCTTTTCCTTTCCATAAAAATGCTAGCTCCTCTGAACTTCATACCGTTAGGCAATACCTAACTTCTCAACAAACTTTCTGGTTATTCCCTATTGGTGGTGGAAGACTTTGGCTTTCTGCTTACTGATTTTAGCCTGCACTAATCAGTAGTCAGTGGAACACTCCAGAGAAGTCTTACGCAGATACCCAGAGTTCTCCCTCTGTGTACCTTCGTCCTCTTGGCACTTTGTCTTATGAATTCTATATGCCTAGAAACTCTCAGGGCAGTAAGATGGCAATAGGAAGTTCACCTCATTTTCTTACTATCCCTCTGAGATTGCTGGGCTGTGTTGTCTGATTTGGTGTCTTGAAAAACCACCATTTCATATATAGTGTCTGGGTTTTTTGGTTGTCTCAAGAGTGGAAATTGACCACCAGTATTGTTCCATCTTGGTAAGAAGTAGGAATCACTGTTTTTTATTTAACAGTCCCAACCTGGCACTAGCTACTATTTAGCAATTCTATTCCATTCTCATAGATTAATGCTTCCTAAGGTGTGGCTCAGTGGTCCCTGAGGCTCATATAAGGGTTCACAAAAATAAAACTATTTTTAAAATAATAATTACTGACATTTTCTCACTTTATTCTTATCCTCTTAAGAGTGTATAGTTGATTTTTCCAGTGAGGTGTGATAACATAATTATTCCAACAGATAATAATTTTTAAAATTTCTTTTATAATTTCTCATTTACATTTAATTATTTTACATCTTTGTGGGGTACAATATAGCTTTTCAAAACATGCATGTACTGTATAATATATCAAGGATATATTAGTTTTAATTTCTATATAGTAAACATCAATAAATATGATCCACATGTAAAAAATCTCTATTAGGTCCTCAATAGATTTGAGGAGCCCAGAGACCTAGGAAGTAATTTTGAGGATTATCATCTTTGACCATAATCTAATACTGCTGGAGGAGAGATGTAAGTTCTTTTCCTTATGTTTCCAAAGTGAGGATAAAACTCAAAAGTATGGGAGGAACAATTCCAGCTTCTTCTACACCTTGATCACTCATCTCTTCCCTCCCCTCTCCCACATCGTGTTCCTTATATTATTTCTCAGCTCTTGCACTGTCAACCTCTGCCTGTCTAAAGGATCACTTGCGTAGCATACACGTATATTCTATTATTATCTTCTAACTTTATGTAAGAAAGTCAAAGCTAACATCATCTTTTAGCTACCACCTCACCTCATTTTTCTGTTACCATTCAGAGTTAAATACCTTGCAGAAACTGTCCACACCTGTCTCTTCTTTTCCTCTAATTTTTTAAAAAAATACATCAGTCTCCTGTTTTTGTATTTCCACTGAAAGTACATTTGTTTGGGTTACCAATGATAATGATGTTGGAAAATCCTGCTTATTTTATTTGGTCTCTTTACAGATTAGCCATGCCTCAATATTCCCTCCTTCACACGCATCCTCTGGTGACTTCAAGACCTAAGAGACTACGCTTTGTATTGTCTTTTCTTCCTCAATCTCTTTTCCTTTTCCTCTACTCAAATTCTAAGTGCTGGAATGCCTCTGAGTTCTAACATGAGTCCTTTACTCTTTGCTATCTCTAGTCTTCCTAGGTGATCCAGTTCAGACCATCTAGAGGCTAGTTTTACTCAATTTTATATCAGGAGTTCTGGTCTCCACCATGAGAAGCAAATACATATATCACTGTAGCAGTAGCAATAATTGTAATTGTTTCCACTTGTAGGCTATTATGAATAATGCTACTATGACTATTTACATACATGTTTTTGTGTAAACATAAGTAGTCATTTTTCTTAGGTGGTTATCTGTGAGAATTGCTGGGTTATATGATAAATTTATCATTTAGTTTTTTGTTTTTTTTTTTTCACTATAGGGCGTGTGCACTCGCCAGACAGACAGAGAGAGAGAGACAGAAAGTGAGAAATCACCCCCCAGGAGGGATGGTCACGCTGCAATCCCTTCTCCTCCATTCTCCTCTTGGGATCTTGGGCACGCACGCACATGCGCCCAGCGTGAGTTTTAAGCCACCGGGTCCGGGATGCGAACCGCGGTCAACTACGTGGGAGTCCAGCGACATAGCCATTATGCTAACTGCTGGTTCCCTGTCATTTAGTTTTAATAAATTCCAAGTTGGTTTAAAGTAGCTGCATCATTTCACATTCCCATCAGCAATATAGGAGGGCTTCACTTCTCCACATCCTTGTCAATACATGTTCTTTTTAATAATAGCTGTTTTAGTGTGTATGAAGTAGTATTTCATTTCAGTTTTAATGTGCATTTCCTAGTAATGTTAAGTACCCTTTTATGTGTTTCTTAGCCATGTGTATTATTTCCTTTAGTGAAATTAAAATCTTTCACTAATTTTAAAATTGGGTTATTTGTCCTTATGCAAACACATTCTTCCAATTCATGCCTTATCTTTTCATCTTTTCTTAATAGTGTCTTTTGAAGTATAAAAGTTTCCGATTTATTTTGAAAAGGAGTTTGTTTTTGATGATTCATCTAAGAACTCTGCCTAACTCAAGGTCATGACATTTTTTTTTTTACTTACATTTAGATGCGCAATCTATCTTACCTCTGAAATACAGCTTAATTCTATGTAATTTTTCTATCTCCAGAATTACCACCTTAATTGGACAATTCTAGAAAGTATCTCCTAGCAGACGCCCCGCCCCCCCCCAAAGGCTTTTGCCTTAGGGTGCGTATGCTTAAGGGGGAGGGAAAGTGAGAATGGGATCTTGTACATGCATACACACACACAAAAGGTGTTAGTTTGAAGCCATCAGCTCGAGGACTCAAACTGTGGTAGGCCATGTGGGAGTCTTTCGACAACCAGTCTTTGGCTACTAGTACGCCATATACTTACTCCTTCCACCTCTTTTTTAAACATTACTTTTATTTATTTCTTCCATGAAAGATAGAGAAAGAGAGAAAAAGTAACTTCGGCAGGGTCTTGATGCCATGATTCACCCTGCAGCTCATCAGCCTCAGCTTATGGCATGTGATGTAGTCAGAGAGAGGTCTACAGATTGTGAACACAGAACCTTTCCATGTGGGTCAGTCTTATAGAGCTTTGCATTACTGCTGTGACATAGCCTTTCTCCAATCAGTTCCCCACAGAACAGCAACAGTGATTTTACCTCCTCTTAAATGTGATCATGCACTTTCCTGTAAAACACACTCTAATGGCTTTGGGTTGCACTGCGATTAAAAACCTAACCTTTTTATGATGGCCAACAGACTCTTCCAAACTTTTCCAATCTCATCTTTTATTTCCTTCCTTGTTTACTATATTCCTACTAAACAGGCTTTCTCTTCTTGCCTTGAAAATACAAAGCTTTTTCCTTTATAGGCTGAGAGCCTTAGCCTTTGCTGTTTTCTCTGCCTGAAATACTCTTTCTTCAGCTTTTGAATGACTGGCTGCTTTTTAAGCTTCAAATCTGAGCGCAAATATTTGCTCCTAAAGAAAGGACTTCCTTTCCCTCCCTTAACCAGTCTATCACTTTGCTTATATACTTACAGGACTTCCAGTCTTATCTCTCTGCCTTCTCAACTAGAATGTGGGCTCTGGGAAGTTAGTGATTTAGAGTATCTTGCTTACTACTCTGATCCCAGTGTTCATTTTGATACTTAACACTTGGTAGGTGCCCAGTAAATATTTGTTGAATATATTCATGAAATTATTGGTCTTATCAAATGATTTTCTTTTCAGTTAAGAATGCTCAATTATTTATTTATTTATTAGAGGTTTTTGCTATAGGGTGCGTGCACTCGCCAGAAAGACAGACAGAGACAGACAGAAAGCAAGAAATCACCCCTCCTTCTCCTCCATTCTCCTCCTGGGAACTTGGGCACGCACACAGCCCAGCATGAGCTTATGCTACTGGGTCCGGGACTCGAACTCACTCTTGGTCAACTACATGGGAGTCCAGTGACATAGCCATTATGCTAACTGCTGGTCCCAAGAGTTCTCAATTATTCTCAAAAAGCAGTTACTCATAAATAAATGCTTCAAATAACACATGCGAAAAGATTTTAAGTAAGATTTTAAACAAATTCTTGTTTATATTCAATTTGATATCAAAATGGTCATCAAACTTGCATATTTTTTCAATGAATTTTCTATTCCCAACTTATTAGCTATTACTGTAATTTAAAAAGCTCAGATTTAAACTGTATATTTGGCGCCAGAAAGTGTAGTAGTAAAATATTATGCTCTGTGAGGCAAAACCACATGAGAAGGTTTCCAATACCTGTCTAGAGACCTCTCTGACTATGCTAGGCATATGCCTGTCCATTATCCATGAATGAGTGAAGCCTGGGAGAGGAACATGGCATAGGACCCTGAGGGGTACTGTCTCTCTCTATCTCGCTTATGGAAGAAATAAATGAGTAAACTTAAAAACAAAAACAAAAACTGTATGCTCACTTAAGAAAGATGGTCTTTCATCGGGATTTTGCGCCCATCCACTTTCTATTAGAGAGATCATAAGTGCTCGATGAGGTATATCAAATGGCAGACTTTCTTCACTAGTGTCAGGTCGATGTCCTTGTGATACACTATACATAATCTGCAAAGGATTGGTGACTTCTGTCAAAACAAATACGTTTCATTTATTACAAGTATATTATGATCCAGTATATTAAATACATTCCCAACACATCAGGTGAAAATGAAGATATCTTTATATTTCAGGAATAATGCACTACTCCACTTTCTGTGTGAAAGAAGCATTTATATCCCAGTCATTGTCAGAGGTATGCACCCTGTGGGAGGTCTGCATCCTCACCTCTTGATTCTGACCTTGTCCATGGGATTTGATTTGTCCATGAAAAGTAAGTACAGAAAAGCCAAGCAGAGCCAAGAAGGGTTATAGCAGCGAGTATCTAATGTAAATGAGAAATAAATGTTTATTTTGTAAATTACTGAGAATTTGAGGTTGTTTGTTACATAGTGTGCTTACCTATACAAATCTAAAAATAAAGAAAAAACAATATCACTAGGGAATGAAAAAGACAAGAGTATTCTTAAATGTTTGCTGGTCTCATAGAAGGATTATTACTTACATTTTCATGTGAAGAATTTTACAGTTAGACTAGATTTTAGAAACAGTAATTCAAAATTCTCATTCTGCAGATGACAAAATGAGAACTCAGAGATTTAATGGACTGATCATAAAGCTAATTACTGTTGGAACAAAAAAAGAATTTAGGTTTTCCTGATCCTTGTTCTAATATATTTTCTAGTTTACAGTGAATTCACAACTGATCCTTAGTCCAGCACACTTTGTAGTGTATGGTACAATCATAATCGATAAAGTGTTATGTTTTGAACAAAATGAATGATAAGGAGATTTAAAATAAAAGGAGCTATAGATAGCTCTGAAAGTCACCTACCACCATGATGTCACCTAGAATAAGAAAGACAAGGTATGCTTACCTTCAAAAGGCTGTTTTCTGGATAACACTTCCCACATGATAACTGCATAGCTGTTTTAAATAAAAACATATTTTACACATTATAAACAAACTTTAAATAATTAATTAAATTGCATTAATTTAAAAAGCTGACTGGAAATACAGTTTTTGAAAGTGATAAGGATAAGGCAGTGAAATGCTACATAAGGAACCAACAAGAGGAATGTACATACAGTATCCAGTCTGTTCTTTTTAAAAAATTAAACTGAATTTGAAATGACTATAATAAAAGCTTAAAGTTATGTGTAAGGATAACTTCTTGTGGATGATTTAATGGTCACTCTGAATATCCAGATAAGCTATGCTCATCCAATTACACGAGTCTATCTTTCATACAAAGCAAAGAGCAATAGAAGGCATTGTATCATGTAGCTCAATTCTGTTGACTTTTTTCTGGTCTCAGTCCTGTCTTCTTTAGAGTGAAAATATTCTGCCCACAATTTTTCTTCAGTTTTCAATGACCTGGTTATATTGCATGAATTTTACACTTAGGATAAAGGATTAAATAGGATATAGAAGTTGTGCTACATCCTCAAATTAACTGCATTGAAGATGGATAATGAAATTGATTAGGCATCAACATATTGCCTCATAAGGAGAGTGAACATTAGCGAGAGAATTCCCACCAAAATCAAGAAGTGATATTTTCTCTGACTGAGAATACTGAAATTGAACTCAAGGAATAATTTACAAAACTAATGGACTAATAAGATTTAAATGGAATCATCTTTCTAGAATAAAACCAGCTTTTAAGAATTGTTCGGGAAGTCAGCAGATGGGATAATGTTATATCACTCCCACGTAGTAGACGTGGTAGACTGCGGTTTGAGTCCTGGACCCAGCGGCTTAAACTCACACTGGGTGTGTGTATGTGTGTGCCCAAAATCCCTAAAGGAGAATGGAGGAGAAGGGACTGTGGAATGGCTATTTCCCCTGGTGGGTGATTTCTTACTTTCTGTCTCTCTGGTGAGTGCATGCGCCCTATAGCAAAAAGCTCTTAAAAAAATGGGACCAGTAGTTAGCGTAATGGCTATGTCACTGGACTCCCATGTAGCCGACTAGTATCAAAAGCAATGTATTAAGTGTATTATGAGATTATAGGTAATCTGTATCTGAAACATGAAAACATGATCTTATCAAACACACAGATTTGTTGTATAAAGAATTCACACATATGTGGCCAGCAGGTGGTGTGGTGGTTAAGTGCACTGGACTCCTACATGGCCGACTGGGTTCAAGTCCTGGACCTGATGTCCTGCTTTCTCACTTTTCCTCTCTCTCTGTCTCTCTCTCTCTGTATCCCTCTCTGGCCAAATTAAGATAAATAAATAAATAAAGTTAAATAAAATAATTATTTTTTAAAAAAGAATTCACACATATACAAATATTAGAGATACTTTAAATAGAAATACTTCCAGTATGTTTAAGAGTTTATTTATTGCTCAAAAATGTCCTATAGATTTCAGAAATGAAAGGCTATTAAATATGACATGAGACTTATAGCTAAGATATTAGGGAAATACCATTTTCCTCTGCCTCTCCTAGTCACAAGTGATAAAAACCTCTGAGTATCAAATTATAAATTAGTAAAAGTTGCTTAAATAAGTCACCTTTAATTTGAAAAATATTAACCACTGTGACTTTTTTTTTTTTGGGAGAGGTTTTTGCTATAGGGCGCTTGCGCTCGCCAGACAGACAGAGAGAGACATAGAGACAGAAAGCGAGAAATCACCCCCCAGGGGGGATGGTCACGCCGCAATCCCTTCTCCTCCATTCTCCTCTCGGGATCTTGAACACGCACGCACAGGTGCCCGGCGTGAGTTTTAAGCCACCGGGTCCGGGATGCGAACCGCGGTCAACTACATGGGAGTCCAGTGACATAGCTATTACGCTAACTGCTGGTCCCATCACTGTGACTTCTGATTAATTTTCACCGTAGTTTAAAGAATAAAAATCATACTTTGAAATGTAGTTTCAAAGGCTGGCTCTATGTCCTAATGGTTAAGGAAGCCACATTCCACATGGCCAGCTACGTAGCTCAAAACCCCACCCTGGTGGCTTGAAAAACACGCCAGGCAGGTGTGTATGTGCCCCAAATCCTGATGGGTTGAAGAAATGGAGAAGGGATGGCAGTATGACCACACTTCACTGGGGATTGCTTTCTCCCTCTCTATTTCTCTCTTTTTCTGGCAAGTGCACATACATTATGGCAAGTTGAAAAAAATGTAGCTTCAAAGTTCTGGCTGGTTATTTTTGTGTTTTAGACAAGGTTAACTCTGATAAAAATCAACACACTATACCTATATATATCGTGCTTGACACTGGCCCTTGATTTTTGTCCAGGTTCATAGTTTTCAGGTGGCATGTAGATAATTGTTCCTCCTTCTGGTGCAGATTTGCTATTCCGTGATTGGGAGAGGGACATCATGCGCCATTTTGATAAACCAAAATCTGCAATCTGTAGAGGAAAAAAAAGTAAGAACTTGAATTAAAAACTTTCTTTAAAAAGTCTAAGAATTAATTATCTTTGTGTATATTGGCTTCATTTAACTATCAGACTAGAGGAAATATATCTACTGACTTGAAGTCTAGCACAATACTATACATTTTAGAAGGCAGACTAACAGTTTTTGCCTTATATTCTGAATGAGTGTATAAACTGAAAACTTTAAACGAAAAATAGCTTTATAGCACCTGCTTTTCAAATATATCTACATCTCATGAGACTGCTAAATCTAAATCTACTCATATCTCATACAATTACCATTGGGCATTATGTGTAACATGGATTTACATGGTCTTATTCTTAATGACCTAAAGTATCATCCTTATAATTTGAAATATGCAAAATATAAACAATAGAAAAGTCATTGTAATATATGATTTACACTTACCAATAAAAGAATCACATCTAGTGGCAACAGTATAGTTAGCAAATGAAGTATATGTATGTGACTTTGGGTACCTAAAGAATTATCAGTGACATTGTGTACCTTTGATACATTATTTTTAGTTTTATTTCAGGTGTAAATCTTGTACAGATGTTACAGAATGGTTTATAACTTCACTAAATATTTAATAGATTCCTTATTTTTTAAAAAATGAAAGACAAAATGTAACAAACAAAACCAGTATATACTAGACAAGGGAGTATGGAAAACCTTTAAGGACATTTTAATTACTTAGACCTTTATGTTGCATACTATAGAAGTCAACAGAATGAAATGAGCTCCATCCAGCACACCATTTAAATTTCAATTATTTAAGTCTTATATATTTTTAAAGAACTATTTACTTAATTTTATTTATTATTATTATTTTCTAATTTGACCAGAGAGAGAAAGAGAAAGGGAAAGTAAGAAAACAAGCCACCAAGTCCGGGACTCAAACAGCAGCTGCCCATGTGGGAGTCCAGTGCCTTAACCACTATGCCTCCTGCTGGCCTCCAAGTCTTATATTTTTACTAATTAAAATAAAATTATTTTTATTAGCATATGGATAAAAATGAGAGAAAAAAAAATCACTCGTGCCTCAAAAAAGGAGGGGTAGAATACTTCAATTGTTCATACATTTATTGTAATAAAAGGGTAAGTCTAAGAAGCAAAATTAGAAAGCACCAAGAGAAAACATGCTGTCAACATACAAAGAACCAAGATTGATACTGAAAGGCAACATAGCATGTGGCTAAGAACCCAACCGCACAGATTATTTAGATTTAGGTTCCAATCCTAGCATTTAGTTAGCTGTGTGACCTTGAGCAAGTTGTTTACTTTCTCTATGCTCAGATTGCCCATTTGTAAAATGGGGATAATCTACATCATAGGGTCTACTGAGAAAATTTAATGAGCTAAATAAAACACTCAGAATAATACCTGGCACATAATCAGTAATCTATGTGTTAGTTACCACTGCTGATGTTTTGTAGATAGGACATTTCTAGAGGTTGCTCTTATTCATATAGTATCATCAAGATCAGTATAGTTTTAGGCCCCTGAATTGCTTTTGGGTAGTAATAATAGTCTAGGGACTGACTATTCCACTCATTCCCACTTGCCACTGCAAACTCTATCCCTCCTCCCTATCACCTAAAAGCAAAAATAAGACTCCACTTGCTCACATGCCAGGCTAATAAGCATTATTATACTGAGTAAAGTTTTATTGGTGCTACAGTGAAAAATGCTACAAACAAAACTGGGGATAGGATCTCACCTTATACTGAACATAATTTGCAAACTACTGTGCTAACTAATGGTTTGAAAACAGTGCTGGAGAAGACATATTCCTGAGCTGGCTTCCTTATATGCTCCTTTTTCCTCACCTAAGATCCTCATCTTTGTGTTTTCATACCTGGCCTAGAACCTACTTAATCAGAATTCCTTCTAATCACTGTTTTAGTTTGGCTTTCACACTGAACTGTACATTTCCTCTTTCTTTATTACAACCAATACCATACAAGAAAGACATAATTTATTGAATCAGAACCATGAGCCGAAGAGAAGAAAACCTGTAAGCCCAGAATGCAATAGAATAAATAAGTGTATAATTTTTTGAGGGTTTGGATAAATATATCATCCAACAATTAAGCAAGAGAACAGAAACTTTTGTTTGACACAAGATCTTAAAATGTACTTCAGGGGCCGGCAAGTGGCATGGTGGTTGAAGGCGCTGGACTCCCACATGACCGACCACAGTTCAAGTCTGGGACCTGGTGGCTTGCTTTCTCACTTCCTCTCTCTCTCTCTGTCTCTCTGATCAAACTGAAAAATAATAATGATAATAATAATAAATAAAGTTAAATAAAATAATTCTAAAAAAATTTTTAAAAAGTACGTCAAAGCTAAAGGTTTTCTTTTTAATTAAAAATGATAAAAAACTAAAAGAAATTAAAATATACTATTCATAATAGTCACTCATAATCCCATTATTCTAGGAGAATAGATATTTTCATTGACATATACTATCCATATCTGTATAATTATAAATCATTTGTGCAAAGCTATGAAGAGCAACCTTGAAGTGTTCTGGTTTCCACATGAGACTGACAGGAGAGTAGAGGAAGGAGATATGGTACATATAAATATCTTCTTTTCAAAGAAGCCTCTCACTGGCTGGTTCATCTATATCTAAAGTGCACTAACAGACACCTGTCTGACAAAGAAACAAGTTAAATGTATTTTTTAAAAAATAGGAATGGTGCAACTTTAATTGATAGTAAATATTTTTCTTTTAGATATTATTTGTGATTAGCATTCCAGTAAGAAAACTTATTTCAAAAAACTGTAGCAAGTTATAAATTTCATTATATCAAACAAATAGGAAGATCAAATAACTGTTATATCTTCTTTCTTTCTTTCTTTTTCTTTTTTTCCTTAGGCTATTGTCATAGGGCATGTAGGCTTGTTGGAGAGGGACTGAGACAGATAAAGTGAGAAATCACCTCACCCCAACCCAGGGAATTGGCCATGCTGCAATCAATTCTCTTCCATTCTCCTCTTGGGATTTTGGGTACTCATGAATGCACATGTGCCCGGTGTGATTTTTGATCTGCCGGGTACAGAACTTGAACCATGGTTGGCCATATGGAAGGCTAGCACCTTAACCACCTTGCCACCTGTGTGCCTGTAATTGTTATTTCTTTATGAATCACTGATGAACTTTGAATTTTAAGACACTTACAGAATAAAAAGTAGAGACACATAAGGAGGCATATACAAAAGTGCCACTAATTTATAAAAATAGTAGCAGAAAGATCAAGTTCTGTACATGTTAAGATAAATAAAAGTTACAAACCCCCTTCTCCCCCAAAAGTCAAGAATATTTAAGTATCAATTCCATAGCTCGGTGGTTAAGTGTTGTGCATGGAAAGCTGGATCCCATAGCTATTCAACTGTAGTTTGAATTCTGGCCCTGGTAGCTTGAAAAACATTCTGGGTTCTTGTGTGCATCTGTCCCCAGATTCTGATGGGATAAAGAAATGGAGGAAAAAAGATTGTGGCATGAATATGTTCCACTGGAGGTCCTTGTTCTCTCTCACTCTCTTTCTTTCTTGGTGAGCACATGTGCCCATTGGCAATTAAAAAAAGGGAAAGAATATTTTAAATTCTACTCATGGTTGCAAAAAAGAAACAAAAGAGTACTCTATTGATTAATTGAAAAGAAAAAAGCAGAGGTAATCAACTATTAGTTTGCTTTTGCTTTCTCTATCAAAATAACTCCTGGAGTGAGATGAAGGAAATAAAGTCCAAGGAGGTTGAAAAATTGATCAAGTACAAGTATCTTTATTTTAAGTTAATGAGAAAACTTGAAAATACTATTAGTTATTTATGGGATAGAATGAAGGGTTACTATAGGATTTCAGAAAAATAAATGTCAGGGGACCAGTTAGTGTAATGGCTATGTTGCTGGACTCCCATGCAGTCAACCACGGTTCGAGTCCTGGACCTGGTAGCTTAAACTTGCGGGGCACATGTGCACGCGTGCCCAAGATCCCAAGAGGAGAATGGAGGGATTGTGGTGTGGTTTTATTGTTTTTATTCACCCTTAGGGGGTGATTTCTTGCTCTGTGTCTCTGTGTCTCCTTCTGTCTTTCTGGTGAGCCCTATAGCAAAACCTCTTCAAAAAAACCCAAAAAGTCGGTCTGACTTTTTAAAAGGAAGAAAATGTTGATTTTGTAAACCTACATATTAGTAGGAAACTATCCTTAACCCGCTTTTTAAAAAAAGATATAGGAAAATTTACAAAGGGCTACTTTTTAAAAAGTTTATTGGGGCTGGCAAGTGGTGTGGTAGTTAGGGGGCTGGGCTGCTACATGACTGACCGTGGTTCGAGTTCCAGATCTGGTGGCTTGCTTTCTCACTTTCCCTCTCTCTCTTTTTCTGCCTCTCTCTGGTCAAGTTAAAAAAATAATAATAATAAATAAAGTAAAATAAAAAATTCTTAAAAAAATAAGTTTAATTCTTTCAGAAGAGAAAGGGGGGAAGGGTGGAGAAGAGGGGAGACAGCCACTCTCAACAGGGTCTTCATGCCACCGCCCTTCTCAAGGAGTATGCCAAAGAAACTGAAGGATTTTTCCCCAAAAGTGCTGATGAACACAATTGCTACTGACATGAAAGTTGGCTCCTAAGGCTGTGTTGTATTCTGAGCTCCATACTGGTTAATATTAATTATGGTTTCAAGACACAAAAAGCCAGCCAATGAAATTTGAGAATGACACAAAGCGGTGAAAGAAACAAAATCCTTGGATTACAGAAATAAAATTCAAAAAGTTTTTAAGCAGTTGAAGCATTTACTCCAATTTAACAAGATAGGATTTGAAGATGCCTAGAACATATTCTGTAAAATACATGATAAGAAGATATGGCTCAAACAATAATATATGAAAAGAAGACCTTTTCAGGACTTTTTGTTTTCACCAAGCCCAATTTGAGGTATGACTATTCCTCCCTCAGGCTAATGAATTTTAAAGAATTATTAATTTAAGTATGTAGGAACAGGGAAATGATCACACCACCACAGGTATATTTTCAGTTCTGAGGATCGAAATTTAAGAGCAATTTAAACAAATAGATATATCTAGATAGTAGCAGGGATTAAATCTCCTGTGATAGGGAAACTGACTGAAGGAACTGAGAGCATTTAGCATGGGAAAGGCTAAAATGCAATTGTTTGTGAAGGGTGAAGAATCACAGTTATCTTCAAATACTGAAGGGCAGTTGTGTGAAAGCAGAATTAGATTTGTTCAGTTTATCATGAAGAGGTAAAAGCAATAGGGAAGAAATCTTGACTGATCATATATTTAAAAAAAGTCAGTCATTCAGGTAAGGATATTCAAACTTTCTTGTCAAGATAACTTACTTGGGAGACAGGGACTATTGTGAGGAATAATAGGACAAGCCCACCATAAAGCTACATTCACCTAATGGCTCTACAATTGATATAACAGATTAGTTTATTTTTTTCTTAACAATAACAAGGCAAAAACTTGCTTTTCTTTTCCATATCAAACCATTTTATTCTAGGGAGATAAAGAAGACAAAGAATCTTCAATAAAGACTTTGTTGGGGCCAGCAGATGGTGCAGCAATTAGGTGGATGGACTCCCACGTAGCTGACTGCATTTTGAACTCTGTTCCTTATGGCTTAAAACTCATGTCAGGCACGTGTGCATGTGTACCCAAGGAAAGACTGCTAGATCTAAAAGGAGTTATAGACTATAACATACCAATTGTTGGGGATCTCAACACCCTACTATCTCCTTTGGACCAATCATCTAGACAAAAAATAAGCAAAGAGATACAGGATCTAAACAATACCATGAATCAAATGGACTTGACAGAAATCTATAGAATCTTCTACCCAAAAACCACGAAGTAAACATTCTTCTCACTCCCACTTGGAACCTTGTAAAAGACTGACCACATGATAGGGCACAAAATAAGCCTTTACAGATTCAAAGGCATAGAAACTATATCCAGTATCTTCTCTATGATAGAATTAAACTTGGTATTAACTTTAGAAAGAACCCATGAAAATACACAATCAGTACTGAAACTAAGAAAACAACTCCTGAATAACTTCATGACTATGGAAGAAATTAAGACTGAAATAAAAAGATTCATGGAAACCAGTGATAATGAAAACACGAGTTTACTTAATCTATGGGACACAGCAAAAGCAGTTATAAGAGGGTAGTTCATAGCAATTAGTATGCACAAGAAAAAAAAGATGGAAAGATGGCAAATGGACAGTCTATTAGGCTTCAGAGAACTGGGGCCTCAGAGAACTGGAAAAACAAAAACATCCAAAAATGCCAGGAGAAAAGAATAAAGATTCAAGCAAAAGTAAATGAACTAAAAAAATAAATGAACTATAGAGAAAATGAATGAAACCAAAAGCTCGTTCTTTGAAAACATAAACTTGATTGACACACTATTAGCTAGACATGGAACTAACCCAAAAGTCCACAAACAGAAGAATGGATTGAAAAAGTGCAGCACATATACTCTATGGAATACTACTCAGCCATAAAACAAACAAACAAACAAACAAACCAGGAAGATCCTGGCATCTAATAGAAAGTGGACAACTATGGAAGATTTACTGTGAGTGAAGGAAGCCAGACTATGAAAGAGAGACATCATATGTTTCCACTTAATATATACTGACTGACTGCATTCTATGGCAGAAACAGAAAGATTAGAGGATACAGAAGCATAGAAAATGGTTATGGATACTGGAGACAGTATGAAAAGAGGGTTGAGGGGGAGTATGAGGAAAGAAATTAAGGAGAAAAATAGAGTAGTAAGACATTTATGGAACACAGAAATGGGTTATTATTTGCTGATGATGTATAATATCCTCAACTGGACTGGTGTGAGGTTTATTCATGTTGGGTAAATTTACTTTACAAATTAAGTGATATACTGTGATTAAATGTATAAAATAAATTAATATAAAATAAAAATAAAAAGGATACAATACATAAGTATCAAAATCTGTCTGTATGAATTTTAACAAAAATGTGTTATTATACAGTGACTTATTAAATCATAAGTGATCTGTGTAAGAGCATAACATGAATTAATCAGAATTTTAAAAAAAAGCCTTTTTAAAACTATTAAGCACAAAAACACAGATAAACTTGTTTAAAAAAGTAAAAAGTAATTACCTTAACATGAAATTCATTATCCAATAAGATATTCTGAGTCTTCAAATCATGATGAAGTAGAGGAGGATTCATATTGTGCAGGTAATTTACACCAAGTGCAATTTCATGTAAGATGCGGAATCTCAATGGCCAAGGAACGTCAGGATACTCAGTTTTCTTTTTGTGTATATATACAAATATAATGAAAATTAGTGTCCATTTAAATTTCACTACATTTAATATTAATGAGAAAATAATACTACAAATATCAAAGTATAACTTCATTTCTAAATAATTTGATATTAGCATTCTTATATCTTACTTTCCTCACAGTTTAGACAAAATAATAACTTTGTAGAACTGATACTGCCTTTTTTTTTTTTTTTATTATGTATGTCTCTTGGTG